AATCTTTAATTTCTTTTAATATTAGTTTCTTTCTTCATTTCAATCTCATCCAAAACTTTTATAATTAGGCAATTTAGTGCACAGGTCTCAACTTTTTTCATATCAGTCTTTCACATTTTGAATTGAATCAAATCAGTCCCTCCTATTTCAAATTTAATCAAATTAGTCCCTTTAATTTTTATTTGTGTTTATTGTGCATGCATGTTTTCGATTTCATCCATTTCAGTCCAAAATTTAAAAAAAAAAAAAATGTTTCAATTTGGTTTATCCTTTTTTAAGTTTACCTATTAAAACTCAAACATAAACATAATGAATAAGTTGAATTAAAATTCCCCAATGTTGAAGTATGCAACCATGTTTAAACGGAGGATTGTGAGGTGCGCATATGCCCTTTTTCACTCCTAATCGAACCCCTGAACCCCAATATTTGTGTAGACCTGTTTTTAGGTAACTTGTCCCACTTTATAATTTGGACAAGTGGTGACTCCCTTTTTCTTTTATATTTTTTTCACACCACATAATAATAATTTTTTTATATATAATTTTGAAATCTTGAGTGGTCATCAACAATACCCATACATGCAAAGAGGCATGCAAGCAAGAAGCAAGAGCAATACCAAAGTGAGTAAGAGAGTTCCAAAGAGAGAGCTCCGGGTGAAAGACAAAAAATGGGGTGAGAGTTAGGCATTAAGCTTAGGTGTAAGTGTGTTCCATAGAGAGAGTACATTGAGTGATAAAATTATGAGTTTATCAAGATTGTGATCATATCCTGAGAGAGTGGGAAACACCAAGAGAGAAAAAATACTTGAGTGTATACTCTGTACAATTTTATTATATAGTGGAATATCCTTTGGAGCTTGTCCCATGATTTTTTCCCTCAATAGTTTTTTGGGGGTTTTTCCATGTAAAATTTGGTGTTGTCCTTTTATTTATTTTTCCTTTTTCTTAGATGGCTGGTTAAACCACTCAATTTTATTTTGCTTGGCTAGCTACACCGCTTTTTATCACTAATCGTTAATATTGGTCGGCAAAGCCTCCTGTTTCACCATTTTTTGTTATTGTTCACGTGTCTTGGTCACAAGAATTAATTTATTCCACTATGCTGTTTTTCCCAACAACTGGCATTAGAGCTAGGTGTTGCTAACATTTACATGAACAATGGAGGTGAATCAAAGCAAAATGATCATGCTAAATAGTTCAAACTATCAGTTGTGGAAAGGGAAAATGGAGGACCTTTATGTGAAGGAATTTCATGAGCCTGTCTTTTTAGAGCAAAAGCCAAGCAACATGAAGGATGAAGAATGGAGGCTACTCCATAGGTGAGTGTGTGGATTTATCCAACAATGGATTGATGATAGTGTGCAAATCATATCAATAATGAAGCTAATGCATGCACAATATGGACAAAGCTAGACTAGCTTTTTTGGGCGAAGATTAGGTAGAATAAATTGTGCCATATAAAGTAATTAATTTATTCAAGGCACAAAGATAGCACTCCTACAGCAGACCATGTTAACGATTTCCTTGGCATCATCAAGGAGTTAGGCAATCTCAGCATAGAATTTGATAATGAGGTGAATGGTCTGATTCTTTTCAACACTTTGTTGGAATCATGGGAGAGTTTTAAATCAACAACGATCAACTCATCTCCTAGTGGTAAAGTCACACTGGAAATCACTAAAAATAGGATCTTTGAAGAGGAAAAGAGGATGCAGGCACTAGGAATCTTCTTGTAGCCAGATACTCAAGCTCTTATCACAGAGAACAGAGGCAAAAGTAAAACTAGAGAACCCAAAGGACGAGGCAGATCCAAATCAAAGTCCAAAAGTAGAGTAAAATGCTATCATTGTGGCCAACTAGGCCACATGAAAAGGAATTGCAACTTGTTGAAATGAAAAGACAAGGAAAAGGTTGAAGATAGTAATACTACCACTGTAGCATCTACCAATGGTGGTGACGTGACTCTACTATGTGATCGTGAGGAGTGTTGCCACATAGAAAACTCAGATGTTGAGTGGATAATTTATTCTAGTGCCTCTTATCACTATGTTCCCAAAAAAGAATATTTTTTAACATACAAAGCAGGAGACTTTGGCACCATAAAAATGGGAAATAAGAATGTTTCTCATATTATGGAACTTGGTGATATTTGTGTTCAAACAAATGTTGGGTGCACATTGACATTGAAAAATGTGCAAAATGTTCCCGATATGCATATGAACCTGTTGTTTGCAAAAGCACTAGATGAAGAAGGATACACACACTGCTTCACAAATGGTAGCTAGAAACTCAACAAAGGATCTATGGTGGTGGAAAAAGGGAGAGCATGTTGCTCATTATACAAGATACACATGAAAATGTGTAGAGGTCAACTAAACACAGTCGAAGATGAGGCTTCTCCAAATTTATGGCATAAAAGATTAGCTCATGTGAGCGAGAAAGGATTGCAACTTTTGGCTTAGTAGTCTGTTATTCCTATTGCCAAAAGTGAAAATGTGAATCCTTGTGATGTTTGCTTATTTGGAAAGCAATACCGAGTTTCTTTTCATAAGAATTTGACTCAAAAGGAGAACAAGCTAAACTTGGTATACTCTTATGTTTGTGGTCCCCTAGACGCAGAGTCATTTAGTGGCAATAAATATTTTGTTACCTTCATTGATGATGCAACTTGGAAGACTTGGGCATACTTGTTGTAGAATAAAAGCCAAGTTTTCAAGTATTTCCAGCATTACCATGCTATGGTGGAAAGGGAGACAAGTTTAAAGATAAAATGTCTTCATACAGATAATGGAAAGGAATACACCTCCAAAGAATTCAGAGACTATTGTTGCAAGCATGGCAAAAGGCATGAAAAGATAATTCCTAGCACTCCACAACACAAAGGCATAGCAGAACGGATGAATCGTACCATTGTAGAGAAAGCCCGATGCAAGTTAAGAATGGCAACTCTACCTAAGCCATTCTGGGGTGAAACAATCAACACAGTAGTGTATTTGATCAATCGATCACCTTTAATTCCTTTGAACTTTGAAATCCTAAAGAAAGCTTGGATAGGAAAGGATGTCGGATACTCTCACTTGAGAGTGTTCAGGTGCAAAGATTTATGCACATGCCAAAGGAACACAAATCAAAGATGGATGATAAAGCCATTCCAAGCATTTTTGTTAGATATGGTGATGAGGAGTTTGGCTACAGATTATGGGACCCAAAAAAGAAGAAAACTATCAGAAGTAAAGATGTTGTGTTTCATGAACATGAGAAAATTAATGATTTGAAGGAGGAAAGAACTACAAGAAGCTCTAGAGAGGGTGTAGAAGATCTAACACCAGAAAAAATTCTTTCAAGAAAAATTACAAATGAAGAAGAGTTGCAAGTACCAGAAAACGAGACAGAGGAGCCAACAATTGAAAAAGATGAAAAAAGTGTAGACGGATAGGAAGTAATGAGTAAGGGGAGCAATCCCTGCCATAGGAGGAAAGACCTCAGTTGAGAAGGTCCACCAGAGAGCATAAACCATCTACAAGATACCCCAATTCTGATTATATCTCGATCACCAAAGAGGAGGAACCGAAGAACTTCCGAGACGTATAGTCTCACAAAGACAAAGATTGCTGGATGAAGGCCATGCAAGAAGAAATGAACTCCCTACATAAGAACAATACTTATGAGCTTGTGAAACTTCCCAAAGGAAGAAAAACCCTAAAGATCAAGTGGGTGTTCAAGTTCAAGAAAGATGGTGACAAGATAGTTAGATATAAAGCTTGGTTGATGGTAAAGGGCTTCAGTCAGAAAAAGGGAATTGATTTTCATGAAATATTTTCCCCATGGTGAAGATGAGCTCAATTCGAGTTGTGCTTAATCTAACAGCAAGCATGAATCTTGAGCTTGAGCAGTTAGATGTGAAAACTGCATTTCTTCATGGTGACTTGCATGAGGAAATTTATATGGATCAACTAGAAGGTTTTGAAGAAAAAAGGAAGGAGCATATGGTTTGCTAGTTGAAGAAGAGCTTTTATGGATTAAAGCAAGCTCCAAGAGAATAGTACAAGAAGTTTGACTCTTTTATGACAAGTCATAGCTATAAAAGAACAAATGCAGATCTGTATGTCTACATCAGATCATTCCTTGATGGCAACTTCATTATCCCTCTATTATATGTTGATGATATGCTAATTTTTGGACAAGATGTTGAGAAAATTTACTGGTTAAAAGAGGAGTTATCAAAGTCCTTTGACATGAAAAACTTGGGACCAACAAAATAAATTTTGGTTATGGCGATTACCCGTGATAGAAAGGCTGGGAAGCTGTGGTTATCATAAGAGAAGTATGTTGAATGGATGCTTGAAAGGTTCAACATGAAACATGCTAAGCCAGTTAGCACTCCTCTTGCAAATCACTTCAAGCTGAGTAAACAATCTTGTCCAAGTAACAAAGAAGAAAAGAAGAAAATGCCATCTATTCTTTATTCCTTTGCAGTCGGTTCACTGATGTATGCGATGGTATGTACACGGCCAGACATTAGTCATGCTGTTGGTGTCATGAGTAGATTCTTGTCTAATCCAGGCAAGATTCATTGAGGAGCTCCTAAGTGGATCTTCAGATATCTAAGAGGAACTACCAAGTTATGTTTGACTTTTGGGCAAACTAAACCAATTCTAAAAGGATACACAAATGCAAACATGGTCGGTGACCTTGATAATAGAAAATCTATTTTAGGGTATTTATTCCCTTTTGCAAGAGGAGTTGTATCATGGTAATCAAAATTGCAGAAGTGTGTTGTCTTGTCAACAACAGAAGTAGAAATACATTGCAGCTACAGAAGTTGGTAAAGAGATGCTTTGGATGAAAAGATTCCTTCAACAATTGGGATTGAAGCAAAAAGAGTACATAGTATTTTGTGACAACTAGAGTGCTATAGATTTGAGCAAAAATACCATGTACCATGATCGAACAAAACATATAGATGTGAGATACAATGTTGCTACTATGATGACAAAAGTTCTTCCTAGGGAAAAGTTTGAATATTGCATGGAGCTGGTCGGGATGAACTCCAAGTAAGGAGTTGAGATTTAAGTCTCCTCCCATGGGGCTAGTGGGGGAGATTGTTGGCGGAAACTTCCAACCGATGTGAACACATGGACTTTTCCATGTGGTAAAATTCTCACCCTATGGTAAAAAGTTGCACCTATAGCAACACTTGTTGAAGCCTTGCATGGTTATTTCAACTATTGCAAGCTTACTCATTTAATGAGGAAAGAAAAACATGCATGG